CAGCCTCCAGAGTCATGATCCAAATAAACTTCAGTTATTTATAATTTAGCCAGTTTGACGTATTCTCTTATAGCAACAGAAAACAGACCAAAACAGAAGTTTTTCTTTAAGTATCTTGAATATATCATCCTTTCCTAGTCAGGTTTCTTCTAAGAAATTTGCTGATTGTCTCATAGATACTCCTTTGCATGTTATGAGTAGCTTTTCCTCTTGTTACTCTCAATATTTTCTCTTTATCTTTTGATAATTTAATCATAATGTGTCTTGGTGTAGACCATTTTGGGTTCAACCTATTGGGAAATTTTTAGTGTGATAAATCTCGATGCCCACTTCTGTCTCAAAATTTGGGAGGCCCCTTTCCTTTTCCTTTTCCCTTTCCTTTCCAAATGATCTTGCACTGTTACCCAGGCTGGAGTGCACTGACATGAACTTGGCTCACTGCAACATCTACCTCCTGGGCTGAAGTAATCCTCCCACCTCAGCCCCCTGATTAGATAGAACTACAGGTGTGTCTCATCAACCTGCTTAAATATTTATTTTTTGGGAGAGACGTGGTCTCAACATTATGCTCAGACTGATTTTGAACTCCTGGACACAAGTGATCCTCCAACTTTGGTCTCCCAAAGTGCTGGGAATATAAGTGTGAGCCACTGCATCTGGGTGTCATTATTTCTACAAATAAGCTTTATATCTCTTCTTAACTCTCTTATATTTCTGAAGAATATTATATTTTGTTTCACTTGATGGTGTCCCATAAGTGCCATAAGTTTTTTTTCACTCTACATTCTGATTTCTTTTTATTCCTCTGACTGGATAATTTCAAATTTTTGCTGAGTCCACTAATTCTTTCATTTCCTTGATTGAATCTGCTGTTGAAACTTTCCTAAATTTTTTCAGTTTAGTTACTATATTCTTTATCTTTAGGATTTTTAAAAAATGGTTTTTATTTCTTTGTGGAACTAATTTTGTGTGTTGTTTTCTTAATTTTGTTTAGTTGTCTATCTGTTTTTTCTTGTACAGCTAGTGCTCGACTTACGACCATGATTGGTGCCGACAGACTGGTCGTAACACGATTTGGTCATAAGTTGAGTAGGCTATATGCATGTGGAGATGGTAGTGCTGCCGGAAGCTGGTCCACACTGTCGTACACCCAGCTGGGCAACGTTTGCACTGCCAGACGTGGAGCAGTCGTGGCTAGCGATTGTGGTCGTAAAGTCGAATGGTCGTAAGTTGCATAGGTCGTAAGTCGATCAATACCTGTAGTTCATTGAACTTCTGAATTCTTTTTCAGTTTATTTATAGATCTCCATTTCTTTAGAGTCAGTCATTGGAGCTTTATCAGATTCCTTTGGTGGTGTTTTCCTGATACTTCATAATCTTTGTACCCTTGCATTTCTTTCTGTGCTTTTGAGGCAGCAGCCACCTCTTCCAGCCTTAACAGTTCATATCAGTGGAGACAGACCTTCACCAGTCAGTCTAACTTTGGGTTCTAGATGGACTGGCTGTTAGTGTTCATGATTAAGTGTGGCTGTTTATGCTCTCTAGTCGGTGGGGCCACTGCCTGCACCCTGAGGTGGAACTGCTATCTGTGCTTCATGGTTGGGTTGGATCATTGGCTGGGTTCTGTGGTCAGGAAGAGTTGGACTCTGCATTCAGGCAGGGCTACTGGCTGGGCTCCTTTGTAGGGTGGGGATTTTGACTGGCTTTGTGGTCAAGTAGGGCTGCTGGCTGGACTGCACAATCACTTCTTGTCAGATGTTGTTGCAGCCTGTGCTCCTGGCTTTGTGGTACTGTTGTTTAGACTATATATTGGACAGGGCTTCAGGCTGGGCTCTGAAATTACCCTTGGTTGGATGGGGACCCATGAAGTGCTCCCTGACTGGGTGCACTGCTTGCTGACTGTCACGTTCAGATGGAGCCATAGATTAGGTTTTGTAATCGGTGGTGGTCTCAGGATGTGCTTTGTAGTTGGGCAGGCCACAAGCTGGGCTCCATGTTTGGGTAGGGGCACAGGCTGCACCATGTGTTGGTGCTGGGTCACTGGCTAGGAACTTGATCTAGGTAGGACTACTCACTTTGCTCCATGGTCAGTCAGGGTCACTATGAACTCCCACATTTGCTGGGTTTGTAGCCTGTGTCCCACACTTGAATGCGGTTGTAGTCAGAGCTTCAAGCCTGTGTTGGGTTGTTGATCAGGCTCCTTCATGAGGCAGGGTAAGAGACTGTGCTCCACAGTTAGGCAGAATCACCAGCTGGACTTCCTGCTTGAGTGGGGCCTGGGGCTGGGCTCTGAACTTGGGAACGGTCACTGTTTGGGCTTCCTGGTCAGGCCAGGCCAGAGGCTGTGCTCTGCAGTTAGGTATGGTTGCTGGTCGGCTTCCGTATTTGGGCAAAGTCTTAGGCTGGGCCTGAGGCTGAGCAGAATTGTTGTGGAGGATCGTTGGTCAGTTGGGACTAGAGGCTTTGCTCCACTGTTAGGCAGGGTTGCTGGCTGGCTTTCCTGTCTTGCAAGAAACTTAGGCTGGGCTCTGAGGCTGATATCCACAGCCAGGCTGTTCCACTTGCTAAGGATGCAAACCAAACAGACACTGCCTACCATACTTCCTGGCCAGACAAATTTGTTGGCTTTGGTTTGCAGGTGGGCAAGCTGCTGGCTAGTTTCTCTGATTGGGTGCCACTGCTAGTAGGAATGCAGTGTCACTGCCAAGATCCATGCAGTGATTGCTGAAGCCTTGACCACTTCTTTGCTTCTAGATGACCCCAGGTGGTCTAGTCCTGCCAATTCCCTCAATGTTCTCTGTGACATGGGACATAGCTCCTAGGATGCACTTTGGAATGTTGTTTGAAGCTGGATATCCACTTTGGCTTTCTTTTTCACACTGAAGAAGTCATGGGCCCAGGGGAACTCCATCTATTTTGTGATGGCACTTGGGGGAGAGGTGATACTGCAAAGTGAAACTATTGCTCTTACCGTTCTAATGAGGCTGTGTACGTGTGTGTGTGTGTGTGTGTGTGTGTGTGTGTGTGTGTGTGTTTAAAGGGGGTGCTTCAGCCTCACCCTTGGGTTCTGGAATTTTTACAAGAGCATTTTTGTCTATGGATAATTACTAACTGAACTTTCTGTGAGGTAGTACAGGTATTGATCGACTTACGACCTATGCAACTTACGACCATTCGACTTTACGGCCACAATCGCTAGCCACAACTGCTCTGCGTCTGGCAGCGCAAACGTTGCCCAGATGGGCGTACGGCAGTGCGGACCAGCTTCCGGCAGCATTACCATCTCCACATGCATATAGCCTACTCAACTTATGACCAAATCGTGTTACGACTGGTCTGTCGGCACCAATCGTGGTCGTAAGTTGAGCAGTAGCTGCATATAGCCAAGGACCTCTCATTCTGTCTTCTTGCATATGCCACCTCTGTCCTGGGATTTAATTTACCTTCTTGTACGTTGGGAAAGATGGATATCCAATGATCCATTAAGGGCTAAACAAAAGTAAGTCTTCATGTATGGTAGAAACAGATATGTAAATTTAAATAATATTTCTATCAAGGCAAAAAACTATTAAGTAAGCAAGTAACTAAAATCACAGAATGTTGAAAGCCTAAAAGTTACTTTGACATTCCACAATTTCTGTATGCCTGTTTTTTTGCGAGAATTAGAGGTAACATTTGTAAAGACTGTTCATGGTGCAAAACAGCATCTGAATTTCTGTAGCTCACAGAAAGAGAAGCATTTTTCTCACAGAGGTATATATTTCAGTATTTAAAGAGCCTGTAATTTCACAGGTAAATATTATTTGCCAGCACCAAGAGAAACAAGCCAGAACTAAAACTTTTACATAAAAAAGAAAAGGTAGTGAGATGGTTTTAATAAATGGGATGAGGGATGTGTAATGTGTTTTCACCTATAAATGTTTTGGGGCGATCGGATAGTAATAAAAAGGATGAGGTAAAAGAGACTGGGTGGAAGGAAGGGAGTCCGTTTAGGTCTCTCTTTGGATTTAACAGTTGAACTGACATGTACAGAATAAAAAGCAAGCAAAGTAGAAAGAAAGGGGTCCTGATGAGGTGTTTAATACCCTTGGGGTAAAATAGAGCTTGGTGTTTTCAGGATAAGGGGCGAAGTCAGTGAGTTGGAAGCTTAGACAACCAGGATAAAGGAGATACAACATGAAACTTGGAAGATAAGTAGGTGTCAGATAACATAGCATCTGAGGACATGGTAAGAGGCTTGAATTTTATTACAACAGCAATGAGGAAAACCTAATATTGTGTGCTCAGTAACCTCTTCCACTGAAAAGAAAGTTAAGAGTCCCTCAATATTTCACATTACTTTTGTATAGGACACTGAATGGCTGCCTTGAGTAGAATCAAGGTTGAGCCTCAGAACTGAAATAGAGATGAAATCTGTCTTCAGTCCTTCAAACCATTCAGATATCCCTGGAAACTACATAATCAGTTTCAGCCCTACCAATCTACCCACCAAGGACAATAAATCTGTAATCGTCATGAAATCATCCAGAGTCCTCCTTGCCTCATCCCAGTTTATTTATCTGCTCCCCAGCCCCCCTGATTGTGCTAATGGACACATTTGGTGAGAATACTCAGCTTTCACAACAGGACCTCCTAAGGACCGTTCTCAGTTATCTGTACCTTTCTGCTTCTAGCCCTTTTTTTTCTTAGAGACCCTAGTGCTGAAATTCTATAAATTATACCTTAACAAAACCAGTATAATTTAGTAAAATGCAGATGCCTTTAACAATATGATACATATACTCTCACGCCTGAACCACCATCAATGGAATCTTCTCCATCCTGTATGTCAGATAAAACATTCTGCTGCCCTAGGTACTTGAACACCCATTGGTGACTCACCTACCAAGGTCTAAAAGCATTGCATCCCTCCCAGCTCTTGAGGAGAAGGGCACCCAGGGTAACCTGAAAAGGCATCTCTTTCCCACTCTGACTCTCCTCCTCCTTCCTTAAATCCCCAGGAAATTGTTGCATCCAGAGCCAGAATATCTGAAGGGGTGTCGGAGGAGAGGGGGCAACCTGTACGTGGTGACAGACGCTGTTGAACTGATCAGTGATACTGTGCTGTGCGGCAACAGTAGTATGAATCTTTTTGGGAAGGCTTCTCTTTGGATTACTTGTGGCAAGGTATAAATTTGTCCTGAAGTGGGATTGAAATACAAAAAGGTACAGCCAGTCCTGTCAATTAAGCTTCATTTTCCAGGGGGCTCCGGACTCATTCCCAGGGATTACAAGGGGTGGAGTCATTATTTCCCACTTCTCACATGTCAGTGTATCCTGACTTCTGATCTGAGAGTATATCCTAATAGCTTCCATTACAGTGTTTTAATATAGGGGGTCATGCAGTATTGACAAAAATCAGAAATATATTTAATTATTTAATATTGTGTTTTGCTTTGGTTAAATGATAAATTCAGCAGAATCTAGATGTGTGGCTGCTGTGTTATATACAGTCTAGTTTTATGGCTGGAAGAAATGAGGGACCACTAACACCAAATCCCAGTTATCAAAGTACTTTAAGCTCTAAGAAAACCTGATAAATGTTTCGAGGAGTGAAATCAAAGTATCTTCAAGTACATGTGACTTATATGAGTCATTCACAATAACCAAGTATCATATTTTTAATATGAATAAATTCATTAACCAAATATTCAGATCAAGTATGGGTGAAAGACATATAACGTTTGTGTGTGTTATAGTATGCTTTTGAACTATGTCTGTGTAATTGGTCCTCACTTAAAAGCTTTAGAAACTAAAGAAAAAAACCTGATATGTGTACTAACTTTCCTAATGCCAGTGAATTACTACTAAAAAGTAGACAAATGGTAACAGACCCTGGAAAGCAGGAATAGTGGACTGCCACCTGCAGCAGGGGAGTAATTTTAGAAACAAGAATCCCCAAAATGTTCAATTGGAGGCACTAGCTACCTCTGAAGATAGGGTATAGGTGGGACTGAAAGTAAGAAATATTGATTGGAAATCTTTTTAAATTTTTAAAAAATGTTTATGGATATATAGAAGATATAAATATTTATGGGGTACATGAGATATTTTGTTACGGGCTTACAATGTGTAATAATCATTTCAGGGTATCTTTATAAAGAACATTCAGAGCCCAAATCCATTCCCACCTCTGCACAGCCAGGCACCTACCCTCACCCACTCTGGCAGAAAACCTTCTGAAAAACTTATTCACTGTGGGCTCTAGATTTAGAGAGACTAATTACAATGACAGGTTGGGGTGAGAAGCCATATTGCAAAAGGGGAATAAGTGCATGTCCTCAATGGGAGTGAGGACATGGAGCCCTTTTCCCTACTGAGCTGCAGGCATCGCTTCCCTACCTTTTCCACCCCCACAACACACAGCCTAGGCAGGATATTAAAGAATTATTTCCTAGGAAAGTTAACCAGTACAAAAGAAATAACTGAAAAAAAACCCCAACAACTGGGGACTCCAAAGAGATAAGCTTAATCCCTGCTTGGTTGCCCCAAAGTGAAACCTCTACTCAACATACCCTGCCAATGCACGCTTAACAGCTTTCCTGCTTCACTCGTTTGTAAAACAGAAAAAAAATCACAGACACTTGAGGAAAGCCTAAAACACAAAACAAAAACACTTTGAAATCAGGAAATTGGAGGAAACAAAGATGACGTAGGGAGGTAAGAAATACTTGATCCCCCTAAAGAGATGATATTTTGTTTCCATGAAAGAATAATGCTCTGTAAAAAGGGTATTTATGGCTCTTATAAATTAAAAACAGATAGTAGAAATTTATTATTCTTTGTCTTAAATAGAAGAGTCAAAAAGCAAAATCAAAGAAATTTCCAGGAAAGAGTAAGCAAAAGGACAGGAGAATATTCATAAAAAAATTTGGAGGCCAGGCACACTGGCTCGTGTCTGTAATCCCAGCACTTTGGGAGGCTGACACAGGTGGATTACTTGAGCTCAGGAGTTCAAGACCAGCCTGGGCAACATAGTGAGACCTTGTCTCTACAAAATATAAACAAAAAATTAGCCAGGTGCTGTGGCACATGCCTGTAGTTCCAGCTGCTTGGGAGGCTGAGGTGGGAGAATTGCTTGAGCCTGGGAGGTTGAGGCTGTCGTGAGCTGTAATTGTGCCACTGCATTCCAGCCTGGAAGATAGAATGAAACCCTGTCTCAATTAAAACAAAACAAAACAAACTTGAGGATCAGTCAATGAGATTTAACTACTCCTGAATAATAGGAGTTCCTGAAGGGGAGAGCAAAGATATAATGCAATGGGGAAAATCTTTCAGGAAAAAATACAAGGAAGGTTCTGAGACCCAAAAGAATGTGTTTCCAGAATGAAAGTGTCCACTGAAGACATGGTTTCATAAGTCAACATAGATTCATACCACAAAACGTTAAGTGTGAATTTATAGAACATTTACCCCAAAAAGAAAACCATAGATATTTCTAAAAGGGAAATAAAGTCATATTCCAGAGAATTCCAGCCTTCAATTCTATGCCCAGTCAAAATATCGTATATGAGAGGTAAAATAAAAAATGCCTGTAGATGTACAAGGTCTCAAAAAAATGTGTCCCCCATCTGCTCTGGAGAGAATGAGTAAAGAGACAGAGAAGGCACAGGGACATCACATTAACTGATAAAGGAAAGGTTGGGAGTGAAGAAAAGCAGTTTTCCCCAAGTATAAACAGTGAATATTAACTTAAACTTTGAGATATGAATATTTTAGGAAGATAGAAAGGAAATAAGGAATGAGGGAAGAGAAGGAAAACAAATTCATCATAATCAAAAAGAGAATAAATAGATATACTTAAATCTGGAAAGAAAGAAAAACATTGCAATATCAACATGAAATTGAGAAATGGGAAGATGAGAACAGGTTGAAACAAGGAAGAAAAGCAGTGATTGGAAATCGGAAGGCAGCAGTAGGGAGGATGAGAGCAGGGAATGATGGTGTTTTTCCTCATGAGCTTTCTAGAGCCATCTGAACTTTACAATGACATACATTTAATACTGTATTGTCTGGTTTCTCTCCTCAGGGTCAAGGTCAAGGAAAGATTTTCAGAAAGAAGGAGAAGGGACTGACTCTGAAGAAGGGCATGGTGGTGGCATATAAGACAAAGAAGCTGATTTTTGAGGAAAAAGACAGGAGTAAGCAAAGCTCAGCGAGGCAGATGGGGGTAGAGAGGGGTGTCTGTTTCTCCTGAGAGGGAAATGAGAGGAAAATAACCATAATGTGCAACCTTTCCTGCTCTGCCTATCCAAGGAGGTGTATGTATATTTCTTACTGTCCATCCTACCACACAGAGGCACTTCCAAGCATGGCCTGGCTGAAATGTTGCTATTGGCAGATACAGAGACAGTCTTGTACAGGGAAAATAATCCAACTTGTTCATCTTGGAGTATTGATAGCACTGGCCAAGTCCAACCCTAATCCTAACCATCCTTATTCATTTAAGCATCCTCAGCAACTCATCAGCCACAGAGCTTACCCAAGGTTACCCATAACTCCATGTTAAGGTCCTATGAGGCAACAACAGCAGAATCACAAACAAAACTGCAGACACAAAACCCTAAGAACATGAGGCTGAGTTTTATCTGCATCTTTCCCTCCTTCACCAGCCTCAAAATGCACAGTTCCTGATCACACACTTTGGGTTCAGACTCCATGTGGGCAGAAGCATCTGTGTCAGTTGCATGCCTGGGTGTGATGGTGAGTGCTGGGAACACAATCGGCTCTCAGAGTCCTTGTCCTCTCTCTTCCCAAATGCTGAGTCCCAGCTGAAGCTCATTCTAACACAGATTGAGCTCGGCTCCCCCTTCTCCCACACTCACTCTCTCACTCTACTGCCTAAAGTATCCTCACGGCAACATGGCCAAGGGAGTGTCCTGATGTCAGTTACCTCTCATCAGTGGCCATAGACAGAATGAGGCCAAACTCTCCCATCTTTCACAGCTAGTGGATTCTGGCTTCTGGAAAACTGACCATATTCAACGCAGCTCTCTCAGGAGGAGAAGGGGTGAGAATGGGATTTCCACTTTCAGGAGAGGTCAGAGACTCTTGCTGAGGGCACCAGGAGATGGTGGCCCTATCAAAGGTCATGGTGAATTATAAGATAATTTTAATATATGTGATAAGATTATTTTAATATATCACATAATGTGATTTTAATATTGAAGGAAAAGAAAAGGAGCCCTAGTTTCAAAATATCATAATCATCAACAACAAATCAAAAATGATGTGATCAGATAAAAGGGGACTCCACAGGACATGATGTGGTGGTATCCAGATAGAATCAAATCAGTTTTCATTGGTGACCGAAGGCAGGTGGACTCATTGGAGAATAAACCACAGTGGTTGAAGTATGAATGCAAAGAGAGAAAATGGGGACCCAGTGTGTAGATGACTCCTGAAGAAAGTTGGCTGTGAGGGGACGATAGGTAGGAGGAGGTGGTCACTAAAGTAGGTCCCATAGCTTAGGGAAAGGGATTTATAAGTTGGCAAAGACGTGAGCCTGTTGTCAGGCTACAGGAAAGATCCTGATGAACTGGAGAGGGTGAAGATGAATTGGAGTCAGTTGCATTGCTAGACATGTATCTCCAATTCTTGCATCAACTACGGAGAGAAGGTCTCATTTCCATTTTACAGATGTGGTGTCTGACATAGAGGAGTGCCACTCTCCCTGCTAGTAGTCAGAACATGACTTGCAGTCACTGCTGTGAGGTTAGCTTTTCCTCTAACTTCATTCATTCATTTCCTCTAAGCTTTTCAACACCTATACAAACTTTTTGTCTTTTTCATGGACTCTTTCCGCTGTTGAACACTTGCACTTTAGTGTTAGGTGAGTTTTAGACCTCAGCACATTTCTCTACATGGAATGTGAAATCATCCAAGAAGATGCCAGATTGGGAGTGGTAAGTAAGGCAGGTCAGTAAGAAAAGGGCAGCAGGAGGCAGTCCTAACCTCCTGAAGGTCAAAGGAAGCTGAGTTCCTTTACTCTATCAAGGTAATTTCTAAATGTTGGATGGCAAAATGATTACCCAAAGTGCTTATTTACATGCAGGTTCCAGGGCACCCTTCAAAGTGATTCAGAAGACAGAGTGAGGCCAGTGGTCAGATTTAACAGCATCCCAGTGGTTTTGATACAAGGGGTTCCGTGGTCCAGGTATAGGGTATGGGAAAGACTCAGGCAGATATAACTCTCCTAATGAACTTCTTTTCCATTCAGCCATTCTCATCACAGATGATGATGAACGGAGCACCTTTCAAGATGGTGAGTTCCTAAGTCTGGTTTATTTTATTTTTATTAAAATTTTTTTTTGTGAGTACATAGTAGGTATATATATTTATGGGGTATGTGAGGTGTTTTGACACAGACATGCAATGTGCAATAATTACTTCATGGAAAAATGTAGTATTCATTCCCTCAAGCATTTATCCTTTGTGTTACAAGCAATCTAGTTATTCTCTTTTAGTTTTCAAAAAATGTACAATTAAATTATTTTTACTGTAGTCACCCTGTTGTGCTATCAAATGCTAGGTATTATTCATTCTTTCCAGCTTTCTAAAATGTGCCCATTAACCATACCTATCTATCCCCCAGATTCCTCCCCATCCTTCCCAGTCTCAGGTAGCATCCCTCTGTGTTCAACTGTTTTGATTTTTGCATCCCACAAGTAAGTGATAACATAAGATGTTTGTCTTTCACTCCCTGACTTATTTCACTTAACATAATGACTTCCACTTTCATTTATGTTGTTGCAAATAATAGGATCTCATTCTTTTTTAGGGTGAATAGTATTCCATTATGTATAGGTGTCATATTTTCTTTACCCATTCATCTGTTGATGGACTCTCATTTTGCTTCCAAATCTTGACTATGTGAACAGTGTTGCAACAAACATGGGAGTGCAGATATCTCTTTGGTATACTGATTACCTGCCTATTGGTATATACACCCAGCAGTGAGATTGCTGGATTATATGGTAGCTCTATTTTTAGTTTTTTGAGGAAACTGTTCTCCAGAGTGGTTGTACTCATTTACATTCCCATCAACAGCATTTGAGAACCCCTTTTACTCTGCATCCTCCCCAGCATGTGTTATTGCCTGTCTTTTAGCTATAAGCCATTTTAACAGGGGTGAGATGATATCTCATTGTAGTTTTGATTTGCATTTCTCATATGATAAATGATGTTGATCACCTTTTCATATGTTTATTTGCTATTTATATGTCTTCTTTTGAGAAATGTCTACTCATATCTTTTGCTCATTTTGAATCAGATTATTAGATTTATTTCTATAGAGTCATTTGAACTTCTTAAATATTCTGGTTATTAATCCCTCTCGAATGGGTAGAGAAATGGGTAGTTTCTCTGATTCTGTGGGTTGTATCTTCACTTTGTTGATTGTTTCCTTTGCTGTGAAGAAGTGTTTTAACTTGATGTGATCCCATTTTTCTATTTTAGTTGCCAGTGCTTGTGGGGTGTTTACTCAAGAAATCTTTGCCCAGACCATTGTCCTGAAGAGTTGCCTTAATGCTTCATTTTAGTAGTTTCATAGTTTGAGGCCTTAGATTTAAGTCTTTAAATGATTTTGATTTGATTTTGTATATGGTGAGAAATAGGGGTCTAGTTTCATTCTCTTGGATATGGATATCCAGTTTTCCCAGCAGTATTTATTGAAGAGACTGTCCTTTTTCCATTGTATATTCTTCACACCTTTGTCAAAAATAAGTTCACTGTAGGCACATGGATTTGTTTCTAGTTTCTCTATTTTGTTCCATTGGTCTGTGTGTCTTTTTTTTTTTTTTTTTTTTTTNTTTTAATGCCAGCATCATGTTGTTTTGGTTACTATAGCTCTGCAGAATAATTTGAAGTCAGGTAATGTGATTCTTTTGGTTTTGTTCTTTTTGCTGAGGATAGCTTTGACTATTCTGGGTCTTTTGTAGCTTCATATAAATATTAAAATTCTTTTTTCTTTCTGTGAAGAATGTCACTGGTGTTTTGATAGGAATTGCATTGAATCTGTAGATTGCTTTGGAGAGTATGGACAATTTAACAATATTAATGATTCCAATCCATGAACATGGAATATCTTTCCATTTTTTTGTGTCTTCTTTAATCTTTTTCATCAATGTTTTATAATTTTTGTTGTAGAGATCTTTTACTTCTTTGGTTAATTCCTAGGTATTTACTTTTATCCCTATCATCAATGGGATTAGTTTTTTAATTTCTTTTTTAGAGTGTTCACTGTTGGCATATAGAAATGTGAGGTCATGTTTTCCTGGGTGATCCTGATCCTTGTAGATATTTTGTGATATCTAGGCATTGATGAGTTAGGTATTTATTGAAGTCTTCTTAGTCTAGGCTTGTTTGTGCCTGTCCTTGAGAAGGCTTTCCAGGTATTCAAAGGGAGTTGGACTCCCTGTTTAGTATCTCTATGGTTGTTGCAGATTCGTAGAGGTTCTGCTTTGGTGGCCTTGAATAAGATCCAGAATAATTATCTAGATTTCCAGGCAAAGAATCTTGTCCTTTCCCTTACTTTCTCCCAAACAAACGGGGTCTCTCTCTCTCTTTGCTGAGCCACCTGGAACTGGGAGTGTGGTGATGCAAGCACCCCTGTGGCTACTACCACTGGCACTGCACTGGGTTAGACCTGAAGCCGGCCCAGTGCTGGGTCTCACCCCTGGCCTGCTGTAACCACTATCTGGCTACTACCTGTGTTCACTCAAGGCCCTAGGGCTTTACAATCAGCAGGTGACAAGGCCAGTGAGGTTTTTGTACTTCCCTTCAGAGCAGTGAGTTTTCCCAGGCCCTGGGTGGGTACAGAGATGCTGTCAGGGAGCTAGGCATTGGAGTCAAAAACCTCACAGATTTACCTTATGTTCTACTCTACTGCTGCTAAGCTGCCCCTCAAATTACAAGACAAAGTTTTTTCCACTGTTCCCTTCCCTTTTCACAGGCAGAGGAACTCTCTCTGTGGCCACATTATCACTGACCCATGGGGAGTCTCTGCCAGGCCACTGCATATATTTGCTGACAGCCCAAGACTGGGCTCATCCGTCAGCTTATGGTAAATGCTGTCTGGCCTGGGTCTCACCCTTTAGGGAAGTGGGCTCTCCTCTGGCCCAGGGCAGGTCCAGAAATGCTGTTAAAGAGCCTAGGCCTGGTCTGGAGGGACCCGAGAGCCTGTTTGGTACACTGTGTCACTGTGGCTGAGCTCGTACCTAAGATGCAAGACAAAGCTTCCTTTACTGTTCCCTCTGCTTTTCTCAAACAGAAGGAGTCTTTTACCACTGCCATCACAGCTGGGAATGTGCTGGGTCACACTTTTAGTCAGCACATCTCAGAGCCCAAGGCCCACTACATATATATGGATACTGCTGCTGGCTATTTAGGGCCCAGTGGTTCCTTATTCAGCAGGTGATGAATTCTGCCAGGGCTGTGCTCTTTCCTTCAAGGCAGTAGGTTCCCTTTTCACCCAGGGGTGTCTAGAGATGTTATCCAGGAGTTAGGGCTTGGAATGGGGGCCTCACAACTCTGCCCAGTCTCCTATCCTACTGTGGCTGAGATGGTTTCCAAGATGCAGGACAAAATTTCTGTGCTCTTTGCTCCCTTCTATTTAACCAAAGGGAATGACACACTTTCATTGCTGTGAGCTGCCCTGCCTGAGATTAAGGGCAGGGTAGCACAAGCACCTTTTTTTTAGCGACCCCAGATAGTGTCTCTCTAGGTCATGTGTCACTCTAGTCCTCTGGCTCTGAGCCCAGCTCAGCATTAGAAATTGCCTAAAAATTGCAGTCCTCATGTCCTAGACTGACCTTTAAGTTCTCCTAGGACTCCAGAGCAATTTGGCTGGAGTTAGTGAGGCCTACCAGGAAACTTGAGTTCTGAAAGAAGGAATGGGCAATTCCCCTTTTACTAGGTCTGGCCCAAATGCTCCCTTTGTGCACTGGCACTGATGAGCTCAGCCTGGCTCTGCGCTCTGCTATGACAAGGCAGCACTGAGTTCAATGTAATGTCACTCAGTCACTGTGCCCTCTCTCTCCCAAGTGTACAGAATTTCCGAGAGGCTAGGCTACAGTGTGGCGATGAATGAGGAGTGGCTACGGTCGTTCACTACCATCTCTCCAACCCTCTTGAAAGCCTCATCCAATGATATAAAGTTAAAACTGGGTACTGTGATTGCTCACCTGATTTTTGGTTCTGTGATGGTGCTTTTCTTTGTGCAGATAGTTGTTAAAATTTGGTGTTTGGTGTTTGTATGAACCATGAAGGCTTCTGTTGCACCATCTTGCTCATCCTCCTCTGGCAGTTTTTTTTTTTTTTTTTTTTTTTGCCTAGAACTTAGGCACTGCTTATGCCTGACCCCCTTTGGATTCCCACAAGAGCCCTGCTTGGGCACAGCTGCCACAGACCCACAGAGAATACTCCCCCAGTCAGGCTCCTCCATTATCTCCAACTGTCCCCTTCCTCTGACCCAGTTACTGTCCCCCAGGGCCACAGGGAAACCAGACTTTCTCATTTAAACATTGGGATAGGCGTGAGTTTGTTGGGGAAAGAGGCTGCCTGGGGATCCATCTCTCTGGGGAAGTTTTTCAACTGAACTGATGGTTCATGTGAGAAAAAAGGGGAGGAGAGAAAAGTTAGAGGTGAGACCAAGAGGGAAATAAGTAGCAGAGGAAAAGTAGGGGTAGGCTAACGTTTGATGAGTAAAAGCCTTTCTTTCTCTTTCCAGAGGAATTTGCGACACTGCGTTACTATAGTGAGGAAATCTGCCAACTGCATTTTCTAAGTGAGTGGAACCTGGCCCTCCCCTCCCAGGACAATCTGCACAACAAAACCCCACCTGATTGCCTTTGCTGCTGCTACCCAAGATCCTGGGGTCTGGCCTCCTGGGATAAGGGCAGGAGCAGGTAGAGAAGAGGGGTTCAGGAAAAGCAGGGCAGAAGGCCGGAACAATCCAGTCTTTGAGCCTCTTTGGTGAGGAATTTCTTTTCTCTTTTTATCATACAAACTAGGTGACATCCTCCCAATAGGTGAGTGTGAATTTGCTGGAGGTGAGGGCAGGGATCCCATCCTGCACACAGGGGTAAGTAAGGCAGATTGCCCCTGCCTTGCCTTTGCCACCATTGTCTTAGGGCCTGGCCCTTGGTCATGTGGAATGGGAAGGGTTAAGAAAGGCTAGAAAATGGAGGGATGGACGGGGATGGGGGCAGGAATAAGTTAAGCAAGGGGAAGGAAGTGGTAGGAGAGCAGAATCCTCCAAAACATCTCAAAAGCAAATTTGGTGGGGGATGAGGAAGGGAGATGCTGACTTGATTCTCATTCCAGGACGAATAGAAGAACCTTTCTGGCAAAGTGAGTATTTATTAAGGGAGACCTTGGGGCTTCTGGGTGGGAGCTGCAAGTCTGAGCACCCAAACTGGTAGTTTTCATGCCAGTCAGAAACCGAGGTCCACTTCCAAATTTACACTTTGCTCATGAAACAAACATTTATTGAGGACTTAATGGACACCGAGCATTATTCTGAACCTGAAAATTATGGCAGTGAACCAAACAGACATAAATTCTTGCCTCTTTGGAGCTTCCAATCCAGTGATCCCTCATCTCAAGCAGATTACCGTGAGGGCACCTGGTGCCTCCTAGGAGAGACGGAGAGCCCCAACATGCAGCCTGAGGTTCATTCTTCATCGACATTGAGGATTCTGGCAAAATTGCATGATAATAAGGGTAGCTTATATGTGCCAAGTGTCTTACATATATATATTCTCTCTTGTTTTTTTGAGATGGGCTGTTGCTATGTTGACCAGGCTGGTTTTGAACTCCTGGCCTCAAGCAGTCCCCCCATCTCAGCCTCCCCAAATGCTGGGATTACAGGCATGAGCAAGCATGCTTGGCCTACATAAACTGTTTTAATGCTCATAACATCTCATTTAACAAACATGGAAACTGATTCCAGAGCACCCAGGATTTTTGCCTCTAAAGCCCAATGCTAGATTTTACAGTATTCCTGACATGTTCTAGACATGACCACTTTGTCATTCTCTTCCACCTGCGATGACGTCATTTCAGAATCTCAATCTCTGCTCCCAGTATTGTTTCCTCCTTTGAGAGTACTGGATTGTCCATCTTTTTAGCTCCTTGTGACAGCTTTGTTCCCAGAGCTCAAGCATGCCATCAGCAGAGACCATTTTGGTTAGCAGCTGAAAGGGATGGAGAAGTTCGGCTCATATGCAAACAGGCTGTCATTCCATGGATGTTCTAATTGAAGAATTGTCCCCACTTTCTGGTTGGTGTTGATGCCTGAGAACAGATTTCAAGCATCTACAAGAGGAGGTTTCCCAGAATATAGAGGCACTGGCCCAGCTCTCAAAGGATGTTCAGGGTGTCGTGTTCTATAGTATCCTGGCCATGCTCAGAGATGGAGAGGATCTGCAGGACCTGATGTACATGGTGAGGCGTTCCACAGTTACAGGTCTGGTAAAAACTGTAAATGGGATTGTTTGGGAGATATGACTACCAAGTTACATGGGGGAGGAAGAAAAAGAAAGATGCCAGGGGGATGAGAAAGACTGGGGGCTCTGGCACCCAGGCACACTGGGCCAGGATGTGTCAACCCCCACATACTGAGGCTGCTTGAAATCCCCTGGGAGAGGTAGAGAACCCTTACCCCTACCCTTTGGTTATCCCCCGTAGACACAGGCAAATAATATAACATTACTGTTATTAGTATTATTATTAACAATAATACCTGTCTTCTATAGCTGAAATTGGACAGCTCAGGTCATTTGGCTGGCCCTGGTAGTTCCATCCTAAAGATACTTCAACGGGATTCAGAGCATGCATTGTCTAAATCAAAGGAAGCCATTCTTTATCTCTTTGAAGCCATAATGGGTAAGAGTAATTAAAGGGAAGAATGGGAGAGTCATAATGTTGGTCCCCAGAACCCCCAAAAAGCTGTGTTATATGCCATGTCTCCAAAGCCCTTTGAATGCCATGGTCTTTTGTCCTTACATCACAGCTCTCTCTAAGATCAGAGGGCTCACTGTGATAACTTGCCATATGATACAGAATGAATTTAAGGTCTAGGAAGTCACCAGCTCATGTTCATCCACAGATCACTGGAGGTGGGTGATTTCAGCCTTCAGCCCTTGAATCCCATCCTTTTGTCCCTCTTATTTAGCATCCTGGAGACCATTCTCAAGGACTTCCCAGGGCAGAGAATTTGATCTTCAAGTCTAATGGGTTTATTCCTCTGTCTTAGAGTTATTCTCTCAGGGGGTCTCCTGCTTTAGAGTAGGAAGAAAAATCTGGATTCTTCACTACTGTCTTTCCCCACATGTTCTCCACCCTCAGTGCTGACTGTCATCCAACACGATTTGCTGGCCTATTCCATGGAGAAGAGGATCCTGCTTCAGCAACAGGAGCTGGTGAGGACTTCCCAGGGACCAGAAGTTCAGGGAAGGGGATGAGGAAACCAGAGTTAAGAAGAATGATTCTGAGGAAAGAAAGATGAGACAGGTTTATGCCAAGAGAGGAGTCCTGATCCCAGGGTGGCCACTGGGAAGTCCCTAGTTGCAGTGTCCTTCTGGAGACCTGACCCAGTGGGTAAGAGTCTCCCTCAGGAGGGTCTCAGTTTCCATGGCAATCCCTGCAGCATTCCCCAGCAGGTCTAAAATAGCCACATAGGAGCACAGGACTTTAAGGTCTAAGGGGATATAATATTCCTGCTCTAGTTACACTGTTATGATTTGCTAATTTCTCTATTTTTCTCTCTCCAAGTATATGTATATATACCTTTATATGCATATACCATATACATACATATGTGCATATACATTTAAAAATAAAAACACTTACCACTATTCTACAAGGGGAGTTTTATTTTCACCTTCACAGACATGAAACCTGATTTCCAATAACTTGATCTGCTGATCATAGGATACGATCAGCTTGTTACTCCTGGTCCTCTGGATCCCAAAGCTCTTGTTCCTTCTATTATCCTCCATGGGACCCTGGCTGCTGGGGTAGAAGCCTTCTTTTCCTGATCTTAAAGGCTGGTCTGTAGAATCTGATCATCCTTCTTCTAGGTAAGGAGCATCCTGGAGCCGAACTTCAGATACCCCTGGAACATTCCCTTCACCCTCAAGCCTGAGCTCCTTGCCCCACTCCAGAGTGAGGATTTGGCCATCACCTATGGCCTGCTGGAGGAGTGTGGCCTGAGGATGGAGCTGGATAGCCCCAGGTCAACCTGGGATCTAACCATGAAGATGCCCCTGTCTGCCCTCTATGGTACTCTGTCATTGCTGCAGCAGCTGGCTGAGGCCTAAGCCCTCCCTGATGGGCAGTCAGTCCAGAGATGCTGGCCCCCGCCCAGTCTATGCTGTGAGTATCTTTAGGGGTGCAAACTCTGCTCTTCCAGGTGGAGTAGAGACGGCCATGGGTAGAGACTTTAGGAAATGTTTTGGGGGTGGTGGAATACTCTATATATTGACAAGGGTTTATATATTTATCAAAACTCCTCAACAGTATGTTAAAGATGTAAACATTTCACTATGTTTAAATTTTACTTCAAAATAATAAAAACAAATACTGACTCTAGTTCATGGTACGCGTTTTGAATTGTTTTGGGCAAAGTGTACCGAAAATGTTAGACAACTTACATTGAAATGCAACAAAAAGTTAAGTTGACTTGATAATAGACAGATATGTGACCAAAGAAATGTGATAAAGTATTAATAATTTGGGAATATGGGTGAAGAATATAGAAGAATTTTTTTTTTAACTCTTGAAACGTGTGACTCTGAAATTGTTTCACATCAAATGTTAGCCCCCAAATATGTGTGTTTGTGTGTGTGTGTATGTGTATATTCCTCAATTACTAACATTTTGTCACATTTTCTTGATCATGGAACTGTCTCATCCTGTGCTCTCTGTGTCATTTGCTAATGCCACCTGGCCTTCTGAGCTGCAAGCTGGGAGTCCACCTCGACTCGTCTCTCTCCTTAACCCCCGATCAACACAGTCCAGCCGACTCACCATCGCCCTCCTCTTCTCACCTGGACAGCAGGTCCAGTGCTCCCAGCTGGTTTTCCCACCACCATCTTGTTCTCTTCAAATTCTCCATAAATCCTAGAGGCTCATATCACAGCAGGCATGGGGAATAATTAAAAAAATGCAACCTTTATGTGTCACTCCTCTGCCTAAAATCCTTTAGAAGCCCCTGTCATCTAGAATCATCAACCAAGATTTTAAACATGATGTCTCATCAGAATCACATTGGCCTGCATTTTCACATGACAATAATCAAGTGAATAATCACCCATTCACTCCAGTGTATTCCAGTAATCCCTATTGCTCACATCGTGTCTCACTTTTAGACAGTGTTTACTTATTTTCTGCTAAAAAAAAAAAAGGCAAGGAAGTGAATTCTCCCATCTTGCTCTTCTACCATCTCCTATCTCCCAATTATTTTATTATTTGTAAATTGCCAAGTAGTGTAACCATATTCCTCATGGTTGTTTGTGTTAATTCTTTATTTAATTATTTTTCTTTTGATACAGTCTCACTCTGTCACCCAGGCTGGAGTGCGGTGGCATGATCTTGGTTCACTGCAACCTCCACCTCCCAGGTACAAGTGATTCTTGTACCTCAGCCTCCTGAATAGTTGGGATTACAGGCATGCACTATTACACCTGACTAATTTTTGTATATATTAATTTTTTGTAGAGATGGGGTTTCATGATGTTGGCTAGGCTGGTCTTGAACTCTTGGTCTCAAGTAATCTGCCTGCTTTGGCCTCCCAAAATGCTAGGATTACAGGAATGAGTTCACAGACTATTTAAATTTATTCATTGGTAACTAACAGTCATTTTATTCCTTGAATGGCTGTGATCAAATAATTTTTTCAGTAGTGCTTCACTCCCCAAGTCCCTTCATATTTGAAAACTTTTGCCTCTTGTCTTTATTCTTGAGGATCTCCTTGGAGAGTGATTCTAGTCAAACTTCTTGCCCTCAGTCTTTTGTGGCCATGCAAAGGTCTCCTGTTGACTTATTGATACCTTGAAGAAGATCAAGGCCAGTAAAATTTTCTCAAACTCTCCACAAATACATCTAAATGTATGCCTGAAGAATTGTTTCTTCATCCTTGAAGTTAAGCACTTTAACCAGGCAATACCTGTGTCTCAGTCAGTCTGTGTCACTTTTCCTGGGACATTGTGCCTTTTGAGCTGCAGATCCAATTCAGGAAAATTTCCTGTTATAATAATAAAATAGCTTTTCTATTTGTTAGGTTCTCTACCTCACAGATGCCAATCGTCCTTTAGGATTCTCCATATATTATCTTGCCTAATTCCCGCATCTTTGATTTTTCTTTTTCATCCGCATTCTCTGAGATCATAGCAGGTCTTTCCTCTATGTCTGTAGCTCAACTTTCAGTATAATTCCTTTCCACTTTATCAGTTCAGATATGGTGTTGTGATCCTCAGTTCATTTCCTTAACTTTGCAGTCTCTCTTTTCACATATTTCTATTTTACCTTTGCAACTTTGAGGTTTTGCCTTATTAAAGTATTTCTCTTAAATTCTTCTATGGCACAAAACAGTTCTTTTTCTTGAGCTACATTTTCCCCCATTTTCCCCCTGAATTGATTCCTTCACTCTCTTCTTTTCCTGTAGTGTTTTGTATGGAACCTCTGTCAACCCCCTATGTTTTCCCTGGTAATGCTCATCGCAGCTCTGCCCAAACTCTATTTGTACAAAGACAATAGGGTAAATGAGTTTTTCTCAACTCTCTTACCGATTAAATGAGATGGCTTCTGTTCCTCTGCAAACTATGGATTGAAAACTGTGTTTTCCAGTGCTTAAGGTCATGGCATGTGGAAGGGAAAGAGGGCTTCCCTGGGGCTTTGGCCAGTCTTGGATGAGTGCCCGGCCTCTCTTGCATCTTCTATGATTTTAAACATTCTCTGTACCTGAGTTCCCTTACCTCATAAAGGGATTTTACCCTTTTGGAAATGACTTCTGGCATCAGCGACCTGAATTCATATAAGGAACTCGGGTCCTTTGGTCAATCCTTGTACTGATTAGACTGTGGGATCATCATGGCAGGTGATCTGAGGTCAGATTTCTTCCTTCAAACTAGGGTGAATGAAGTTGGCCCTTCATTATTGGAGGAACAGCCGGGGCTCCCATCCCAAACCCTAGGAGTGTTGCATTGAGAACTTTTTTTGGCCCATGAACATCTGCTTTATTCACTCCATTTCTTTATAAGCATTTAAAGATTTCCACCCTGCTGGGATGAGATCCCTGACATCCTTTCTCTCTCTCCTTTATTTCACCCTTTTCATGTTTCCCCATTTTCTTAGGAACTACACCAGTCTTCTTCCCTGTCCAAGTTTCAGCATAACATTTCCCTTTGGAAATGGCTTTGAGGCTAGTGGCTATATATCGGGTGGGCCAGAATCTGAACTTGATCCAGCATCAGGATCTTCCCCAACACATTCTTTCTGTGAGGACCCTGAGTCCTGGGGCAGTAGTCAGACCAGCCAGAATCTAAGCTTGGGTTGCTATTTCTTTCATTTTAGCTATTATGGATCGCAATAAACAAGGAATTGTATATTTTCCTCTTTCTTGTTACTTTGCGTTTCCTGATGCATACAAGGAGCCAGCTTTCTTAGGAGTCGGATCTCTCTTTTCCAAATTCCATTGCTGGCCAGGCTCAGTGACTCATGCCTGTAATCCCAGCACTTTGGGAGGCGGAGGTGGGTGGATCACTTGAGGTCAGAAGTTAGAGACCAGCCTGGTCAACACGGTGAAACCCTGTCTCTACTAAAACTACAAAAATTAGTCAGGAGTGGTGACATGTGCCTGTAGTCCCAGCTACTCTGGAGGCTGAGGCAGGAGAATTGCTTGAACCCAGGACATGGAGGCCGCAGTGAGTCAAGATTGTGCCACTGCACTCCAGCCTAGGTAACAGAGCAAGACTCT